TATCGCACAATGCAGTTGGGTCAAGTTCCCAGTAGACCTTATACACAATCTGGAACAGATTTTTGTCTCCAACGTTCAAAAGACCCTCGTCTAAGTCCCTAAAATTCTTGAATTGATATTATAAATGTTGTTTTGGTTTACTCACGTGTTTATATTAAGAAAAGCTGCCTAGTAGCCTAGTAGGCTGCGCGACATCGCCGCGTCCGCGCACGCTGCTCATGAGGAAGAACCCCTCTGTGGTTCGAAACTAGTAGAGCTTTTCTCAATATAAACACGTGAGTAAAACGCGATTTTTAGTTAATTTAGTATGCCTCACGATAGTTATTATAAAAACGTTGTTTTGGTTGTAAATTAAGTGCTTAGTTTATACAAAACATGAATATTGCGGTCGGTGGAGGTGTGCGGTGTGTGACGGGTGAAAGTACTTGTATTGTATATAATCGTTACTTCGTTATATGTACTTAATGTTATATACTACCTAAATGTATTCGTTCAGTACTCGGTTGTGTACGCAAAATAAATAAATAAATGTGGTTCCAAATATTTTTGCTGTTTTATTGTTATAAGAAAAGTTTCCTTTATATTTTTTTTTTATGTAATAGGTCTGCAAACGAGCAGACGTTACCTGATGGTAAGCAATCAGCGCCGCCCATGGACACCCGCAACGGAGGAGTTACGAGTGCGTTGCCGACCTTTAAGGGATTAGGGATTTGGAGATTTAGGGATTGGGGGAGGGGAAGGATTGGGCCTCCGGTAACCTCACTCACACGGTGAAACACAACGCTGTGGTTGTTTCACGCCGGTTTTCTGTGAGGCCGTGGTATCACTCCGGTCGAACCGACCATTCGTGCCGAAGCATGGCTCTCCCACACTTGCAAGTTTCGACTAATTGTGTCGTAATAGTTTTTTTTGTGAGGGGAATATCATCAAATGACTTCTCCCGCCCAGGGTCGGGCGGGAGGGAGTGTCAGACTCTTACTGACTAAAAACCCCCTGTTCCTTCTCCTGCTCTGGGCCGAGGTCGCGGTGCCTCATTGCGCTTACCTCGCAACCCCGGCTAAGTGTTGTAATAGTGAGAATCGGTTATCAAGCACCTTATATGGATTCATCATCAACCATCAACCACAAGTGCTTACTGCTTAGCAAAGACCTCACGGAGAAGGTATGAACTATGAACATTAATCACCACGGTCAAAGCGGATTAGCGTTTTAAAACTATATACAAATTGCTAATTCCGCCTCCTCGCAATGATTGTTTTCCTTCACTGTCGTATATCAGTGGTGTATAAATGCTATTTTTTGCATATGCACATTCTGTGGACATAAATCAGCAGACGGATAACCTGATGGTAAGCAATCAGTGTCTCCCTACTCACAACTTTAATTACTTGCAAATTGGGAATGGGGGGACGAGGACAATTGGTGTCGCTTAGGTTGGACGAAACAGAATGCTGTGGTTGTCTTAAGCCGGTTTTCACGAGGCCGTGCTATTACTACGGTCACGCACGCCAACTAGCGCCAAAATGTATCATTACCAATTTAAAACATCACGAATCCACTATAAATAAGGATACCTAATTGACTATGGAACACTAAAAAAATATAACATGATATGTATTTTTTTATAATTTCGCGAGCGAGGCTCGTAGAGGGATACAGCTTGGCTGGGCAGCATTTAGGAAACTTGGTCGGGTGTTCTAGTCAAAGAAACCGTAAAGCCTGAAGACAAATGTCTTCAATGAGTACGTCCTACCAGTGATGACATGCGGAGCCGAGACGTGGACGCTTACAGTGCGACTGATCCACCGCAAAGTCGCGCAGCGAGCTATGAAAAGGGTGTTGGAGTCTCTTTGAAGAATCGTATTCGATATGAGGTGATCCGACAGAGAACTAAAGTTGTCGACATAGCCCAAAAGCTTAACAAATTGAAATGGCAGTGGGCAGGTCACATTTGTCGAAGAACCGATGACCGCTGGAGTAGAAATGTTCTAGAGTGGAAACCACACTTAGGCAAACGTAGTGTAAGGCGCCCTCCAGCTAGGTGGACTGACGATATCTTCGAGGTGGCTGACAGTGGACCTGCCTCCCCAATTGCAATGACTTGCAATTGGGGAGGCTTATGTCCAGCAGTGGACGGAATGAAGATTACGACGTTTTTTTTTAATCCACCCTGAAATCTGGTTATATTTTTTTTATACGTAGAAAACGTTTACAAACACAATTTAAATGTAGATCATAGAGTTGTTTCGAGAGGGAATCGTAGCACCAGCTGGCAGTGACCCAGTCACCACGTTTTTTTTTGTGATAACCAGCAAGCGCATTTCCTGATGGATGGTAAGCAATGCGCGCATGGACACCCGTAGCACCAGAGGAGTTAAGTGTACGTTCCAATTTTTGAGAGGATGCAAAGAGCCCCGGTAACCACTCACACTTTTTTTATGGTATAGGCCGGCAAACGATCATGCGGATTACCTGGGAAGCAATCAGCACCGCCCATGGTCACCCGCATCGCCCAATAGAGAAACGTGTACGTTGCCGGCCTTTTAGGGAGAAAGGTTTCGGATATTTAAGGATTGGGAAGGCGGGGGAGGCGGCGAACATAACGCTGTAGTTGTTTCACGTCGGTTTTCTGTGAGAGCGTGGTATCACTCCGGCCCTTGTCGAAGCTTGACTCTCTCACTAACATACACGTCAGCCCTTATTTTTTGGTAGGAGAAAATCATCAAATGACTTCTCCCGCCCAGGGTAAGGCGAGAGAGAGTGTCAGACTCTTACTGACTAAAAAATACACGTCAGCCCTGCAGTCTGAATTTGAAAACACTTCAAGGTTAAACAAATAAAGGACCAGAAATAATTAAACAACGGTTTATATTTTAAAATAACGTTTATCTATCTACATTACAATTCAGTTAATTTACCCTATCTAACTTTGGACGAGTTATTGAGGTCGGTACAGATCAGATGGAGGTTCCTGACAATTCCTTGCCTTATTAGGTACATGTTTGCAAACTGAGTAATGTCTATTTCGATACAATGAGGAAATATTACAAATAGTATATCCTCAAAAATGCTAAATCAAAAACAGCGTTTTTCGAGAGAGATGATGAAGCGATCGAAATTTCATTTGGCGTTATATTATCTCTAGATACTTCAGTGATATTTACTGTGCTGATTAGGTATTTGAAAACTAGTCAGTCAATCCCTACTTTTATTAAATTGTCAAAAACGAATATGTTCTATGAATTTGCTGCGTAAAATAGAAATGTGAAGGTGAAACAGCACTTTTTTCTTAAAATGTATCCTTCAAAGAAGATTATTTTTGATTGTATATTGAATTGTATCGAAAACTTGAAACTAAAAACTAAAAACTTGAAGGAATTAATTTTTGACTGAGGAAAATACAATTGGGTAACGGTAAAACGGGGTGAATAGAATTTGAGGGGTAAATAGATACACGAAAGGGGTGAATAGATGTTGGCGAATTTTCCTAGTATCTATTCACCCCTCTTCCGTGTCTATTTACCCCTCGAATTCTATTCACCCCGTTTTACGGTAGTTATTTGACCAATAGACAAAAGTTGGTTGCAGACTTTTTAAATTGGCAAAATCTAAAATCTGTGAATTGAATACAGAATTTGGTCTGTTGTATTTGAATCAAACAGCAAACTTATGTCTTGATTAGCACGAATATTAAGTAAGTACTTAGGTTTATCGTAAAATTGATGAATATCAGAGTTAATTTTTTAAAACATCTTTTTTACTCATATTGCATTGGAAAATCTTGACAAATTCAAGTAACCAGTTACCAAATACGGTTTGCTTGCACAGTCGTCGCTATCGAGTATGATCTTTCTAATTATGAGCCCTCAATGTGAATTAAAATAGTCGGGCACTTACATTAAATTGGTACCGCGAGTAATTTTAATTACTTACTGTTTAATAGTTGCTTTAATATTACATAACGTTTAGGCGTGATTTAGCGTGACAGTCAATCATTGTATTTTAGAATTACGTAAATCGCTATCAGCCAAAATCAATATAAAATCATGGGATTAAAATTGATTTTGCGACATTAGTTGTATGAACTTTTCAAAAGACGTATCGATCTTTATTTTGTTATTATATCGAAACAGACATTACTTAGTTAATTTGTAAATGGCACTTAATACAATAATATTCAGGTAATAAATAGTGCATAAAAGTAAATACACAACACAAAACGTGTTCGCATCAAAACCGGAGTATATTAAAAGCTCAGATTTGGAAAATTCATAAGTCTGTTGCAGCTACATGTTACAGCAACTGATGTTACATCAAATACCAGTTAAGAGGGCGTCAATAAGTAAGTTAGATGTTTTTTTTTTTAATTTGCTCTCCCTCCCTCCCTCCTAGTTGAGATGTCGTGAAATTTTGTTCAACCACCTCCCCCCTACCCCTATCTCACGTGAGATTTATCAGAAGGTGGATTTCTTACGTAAATATATTTGCGTTGATTTTTTATTGTAAAAAATAACGAATTTGCTTTGTGCGTTTATTGATGCCTAGTTAAGACCAGTAATCAATATAGGTACACATAAAAAATAGTGTACTCAGTTTTTAATTACTAAATATTTTTTACACGTTAATCGCCACGTGGCTCTATTCTGTGTGACCTACGGTAGCGGAGGATTTCTCTTCAATATTTCTCTGTGTGCACTCAAAGGCTTAATCAGAAAAAAAATGCTTTATATTTATCGAGACCCCTTTGTCAACGTGAGATTAGATTAGATTTTAACTCCCCTCCTAAACCATCTTACGCAATTTATGGACGCCCCTTTAACATGTCAAGCGTTGCTGCAACACGTTGCATGCGATGCGGCCGGAACTTCAAAAATGACGTACAACGAGTAAAATTTATTATTCAGAAAATTATTGCATATTTTTTATATATACACTTTTGTTCGAGCACCTATATATTTTAGTAACTTTTATTTACATTATTTACAGATCTGTTTACATAAATTGTACAGTCTTGTGATGTTTAACGAAATCAAGGCGCCATGTAGACATCCAGACTGATTATATAGATACTGTAGGTAACATTAAGAGTAAAACTTATTATAACAATTGATATATTTCTCTAAAATAAACAACAAAAAAATATATTAAAAAGTAAAATAAATATCTTGTATATTATTTATTGTGTTTGAATACTTGCGATTTGTAAATAATTTTATATATAACGTTATTGTCGAGAGCTGACTACTTAAATATTAAATATCGACCAAATATAATTGCACATATTCAGTGTGATATAGCCATGAAACACTATCCTTTTGATTTCGCAACGATTCTACTATTCGAATTATGTAACTAATTGATGGATGATCTTATAAAATATTTCTTGTAAATTAATTTTAGGAACAACATCCCACAGGAACATTTATTGAGTTCCATTGTTTTTAGTACATCGCTAAGTAAGTTATGTGGTCCTGGTAAATTTTTAAGTGTACTTGTAGACTGTAGGTTTGTTTCGCAGTCAAAAAATATGTAATTCGTTCGAATTTCCACTAAATTCCTAATTTCCTATTCAGTCAAATCAATTTAGATCTTACAACATAGCGTCTGTACAGAACATTTTATTTTTATATGTTTTCTTTTTTTTTATTTTCGTTATGTTTGGATAAGATGCGATATTTTTTGTAAAAATAATTCATTATTTAATTAAATGATCTCTCCGTTGGCAGTGATGGTTGCTTAGAACTAATGCGGGCCCAAATGTACCAGGCTCACATAAAGGAACAGATGTAATTAGCTAAGGGAAACGTATTACTGTAGTACCGATCGCGTCGTCGCTGCACGCGTGCGCGAGTGCGCTCTCGAACTCTTGTGGCAGGTACACCTGTAACATTAGTAGGAACCCAATAAATAATCGAAAATGGCATTATTAACTTCGTTTTAAAGTGTATTCTGACTTTTTCACAGCACGGTTTAAAAATATAATGGGAAAACGTTGTCTGATGACAAGTCTGTCTGTCAAGATGAAAAGTCAAAAGTCAAAAATCATTTATTCCAATTAGACTAATACAGGCACTTTTGAACGTCAAACAAAATTTTGAAGATATAGTGTCAGTCTATCGGTCTCTCCTCTTAGTGAAGCTATTTGCTCGTTCCAAAGTTTAGATTCCGATGGAGAAGAACGAGCAAGAAACTCCATGGTTACTTTTTTTAAATCAGTTTCACATACAGATTCCTTTTACAAACAGTTGGTTCAATTATGTGAGAACAGTATAACACTAATATTTATTCAGAGAAATATATAAAGAAAATAACCTTAAGGGCTATAGACAGTCCGGAGCTGACCGTCCGGAGTTCACGAACATGACACGGACACCAGCATCGCCCAACTCAACCATATTATAGGGAAGTGAGCGATCCAGCGCCCATGCCACCGCCAGTGTGACCTTTCAGTGAGCATGACAACTCCAAGCTGATATATTGACCGACAAAAAAAGCCTAGCCTCGTTACTAACAAGAGACCGGCAACGCACTTGTAGTAACTCTTTTGGTATTACGAGTGCCCATGAGCGGCGCTGATTGCTTACTATCAGGTAACCCGTATATTCGTTTGCCGACCTATCACATACAAAAAAAGCTTTGCTTACTATGCTTGCTACACGATACTGTTATCGTGTAATGTTTGGTCTTACCTTATCAAGTATGGGCGCCATGGTCCCGCGTTCCACTAGTTTCGCTAGAGTTTCTAAGCCCTCTCTCAGTCTAAACCGATCTTCTAGCCAATCTGTATTCGAACCACAGCCTACCAACCACTGTAAAAGAAATAGTAAAGTTATATATAAAAATGGATCGCAAAATGTGTTGGTAAGCGCACAACTCAACAACGCCTGGACCAATTCTACTGATTATTTTTTTGTTGTGTTTGGTATTGTCAGGAGAAGGTTCTTATTAAAGAAAATATTAGAAAAGTGTAGGGGAAGATTAGGAAAAAATGACCCTTTGATAGCGAGATAGTTGGACCCATGCGAAGTGGGGGCGGGCCGCTAGTAAATATTATAAAAAATCAATAAAATACACATTAATGCTATAAACTTACCCTCAAGACTCTGTAGGCGTAGAATGAAGTAGCGAATATTACAGCAAAAGGCGTCGGCAGTCGGTCGGTTATCATTGGCCCCGGTCTCAAGTCGATGAAAGCTGTGCGCGATGCTGTTGCCCTGGTACCAAAGTATTGATTAACACCCGGTTTCTGAAAGGCTTGTCAACGCTAAAATTAACTAATCTCCTGTTAAATCTCTTGTCAAGTCATCTGATTGGTTGTTGATAATTCAGTCAACCAATCAGATGACTTGACAAGAGATTAAATTGATTTTAACATTGATCGGCCTTTCGGAAATCGGTTGTTAGTATGTATTTATTTCAACATGTTTTAGAAAACTTTAGTAACACAAATACTTCAATTATAAAATATTATGCACAATACATTAAATAAGTTATAAAGTCCAAATTATTGTGGTAGACTTTAGCCGTGGCTCAAAGGCCAGCTCGACTGGAGTGACCCCACGGCGTCACTGAAAGCCAGCGTGAACCAGCGCTGTGGGTTTGTTTCACTGAAAGGTGTCATTGGTCTAATTCTCACCCATCCCCAATTTCTAATAAGCTTTGCAATGTATTTCTTACTTCATGGGTGACGCCGGTTTGCTTACCATCAGGTATAATGGCCAGCTTTGCCGTCCTATCTTAATAAAAAAAGTGTTCATACTTGAGTAAGGCAGGTTTGTTGGCAAGTGCTATGGGGGGGACCTCTGAAGCGGCGCAGGCGAGCACGGCGTCCCAGGGACCAGTACGTCTGGCGCGCGCCTCTAAGCTGGACCACGCCCCCGACTCGCGGTTACCATCAATATCCACAAAGTCCGATGCGCCTGGTAACAACATTATTAATTTACTAATATTTTAAATGCGAAAGTTACGATGTTTGGATGTTTGTTACTCAATCACGCCAAAACGACTTGACAGATCTGGATGAAATATGGCACATGCATAGCATACACTCCGGAATAGGACATAGGCTAGTATTCATCAACATACCACACAGGCAAAGTCGTGGGTGGAAGCTAGTATTGTATATTGTTTTATTCTCTCATATAAATAAGTGTAGATTACTCCTTCTAAATCCGAGGGTGTCGTAAAATTTGACTTAAGGAGAAGAAATAATTGAAAGACAGCAGTATTCTTTGATAAACCTGATTATTCTTTCTCCTAGTAAATTATGTATAGTTTCTTTTATATTAAAATTCTAATGATAGTATATAGATAAAGATCACAAAAAGGGCGTTAAACTGCGATCTCCAACCTGCTTACCAACTGTAGAGATTGGTAACCCCCCATGTTGTACAGGAGACCCATCTTCAAGGCAGTTAGTTAATTATGATGAGGAGTGAAAATTCCCTCCTGCACCTCTTACCCTCACCTTTTAATTAAAATGAAAGTACCAGGCAAGTAGCAACAATAAGAGGTGTATTTACCCAGGTCCTTGAGTGTGAGCGCGGCGTGTCGGGGCGCGACGACGGTGACGTGTACCCCCCACGTACTCAACAACTGTACTAGGGCACAACCTTCGCCGCTAGCCGCGCCACACACAGCTACCCTGCAATTGCAACAGCAAACATAAATTAGTTGCCTCTGGCTTTTCCCATCTGGCTACTTTAAAATGAATCAAGAAAACTCTGGTCATATCTTTTTATATAAAAACTTCGTGTCACGTGTTTGTCCGCGATGGACTCCTAAACTACTAAACCGATTTTAAATTTGATTTGCATTCCGTGTGCATTTTGATCCAACTTGAAAGATAGGATAGCTTACATCTCAATTTATAGTCACAATATTATGTTATTGCAAATTAATGTCCATTATGTAATATGACAAGAACCTTAGCCACAGCAACGCGTGGCTTTGTCTGCTAGTTATTCAATAAAATTGCAGTAATAATTCCCAATTCCCAAACTCACAATCCCCAAAAGGTTGCGAGTATGCATGGGCGGCGCATATTGCTTAACATCAGTTAATCAGTTGTTTGCCACCCTATGCTTTTTTTTATGGAAAGGGCCCGCTACAACCTCCCACAACCGAAACCAAAACTCATGTAAGCCAGGATCTACACAAGACACAACCATAAAAACAACGGAACACTGAAGTCCGGCGCGTCCGAGGGACATGCATGACTGTCTATGTAACGAAATAAAACAGACAGAAGACAAAAACAGCCGCTGTATGTTATAAATATGTACATACCGTTTTCCTTTACAGTTCTCAGGTGTGTAAGCGATGTTCCGAAGCGCCATTAGGGCTTCGCCCCCGGCCCAAGGTAGACTCGCTGCTGTATCGGCCGCGAGGCCGCGGGGTCGCTTGCTCACTCGGGTACTAGGAGAACAAGCATTCATAAGAGCTTCGTTGAAATGTATTATAATGGTCAAGGTTGAAATGTATCCTTAAAAATCGGTCAAATATTGATATCTTTCTATTGGTAGAAATTATAATAAGTGCAGATCCTATTAAGATACCATTATTATAAACGAGAATGTTTGTAAATATAAATGGATGTTTGTTATCGTTTCACGTAAAAACTACTGAATTCTTATACTATAGAGATATAGTCTTGGATAACACATAGGCCACTTATCCCCGAAAAGCTTGCGAAGTACTCAATAGCTAAACGCCATTGCCCGCGTTAAGAAAAAGCAGTCTTTTTATGGGAAATACATTTTGGGCACTTAAGAAATCGTATATTAATTTGAAACGGGTTAGACGTTCCTTTATGGACCGTCGATTTTGGGGTCAAAATGGGGGGAGGGGGGAGGGGCAGGGAGAGGTCTACCCCCCAGGCCCATCCCCACCCCGCGGAGCCCTATGGTTATGGAGATATCCATGGTCAAAGTTTGTTAAAATTTTGAGGTTAGGAAAGATTTTTCGGATAGTTTGTATGTATGTATGTATAACTTTAGAATCGTACCGCAGTGGGGAGGATGTCCCCTTCCCCCAGTACCACTCCCATGACAAGGCAACTCACAGTTGCCGAGAAGCCTTCTGTTAATGTGTACTATCTACAAAAAAAAAATGAACGCTCAACTCGACGGTCCATAAGGAAAGTCTAGCCTTGAAACGGCTCAACCGACTTAAAATATTTAGGTTTGACATACCTAATTATACAAATTCTTTCCTTGATTGAAATAAGTGAGATTAGATGACATGATGACAAGGAACTTTCATTATTAAAATTACTTTTGAGATAATAGGTGTGGAATAAAATGAAATAAACTGGTACCTGCGAATAGTCAACAATTCCGTGGCCGCGCCGCCATTCCATTCGGAAACACATCCCCATACTTCGTCCCCCATTTCTAAGTCCGTCACACCTTGACCGACATCCAACACCACACCTGGAAATAATTGCAATTATTTCTAAATCTTCAACTGAATAAACAAAAAAATATTAATACATTATGCTACAAGTGTGTGGAGATTATAGCTGAGGCGCATTGAGGGCTCGGGCCTCAATGCCTTGTCAGATGAGAGTCTCAGAGCCGAGGACGGTAATCATCAATACACACGTGTATCACACGACGTTTTTCAACACACTTCTGAATAAAATAATACTTAAATAAAAAGCTTCAAAAGAGAAAACGGGACGAGTTGTGAAAAAAATGGCGGTAAAAATTAATCAGTTTCACTATGCGCACGCATCTGCCACAGACTAAAAATGAAGTTTCTTTTTTTTGAGCCTTGAGCGGATAGCATTTTAGCGCAAGTGTAAGCGTAAGTACGCGTATTTAAGTACGTATTGTAAATGATTGTAATCAACATGTGTCTATTATCTGTAAAGGCTGGTCATTAGCGATATGATTACTTTAAATTATTAACTATTATTGTATTAGTCTGTAAGCCTTCTTAAAAAACAATAAAAAGAAAAAAAACTTAACCAATGATATACCTACAACAAAATATAAAGAACAAGGGCCGGTTATCTAACTATGTAAACAATTTGACGAGAGAACTCCTAATGACGAAAAAAATACAGATTTTGTAATATTTTGCATTCATGAGTTAGCAAAGCAAACTTCTTCATACTAAAACACAAGAAATAAAGTTTTAACTCAAGGGGTAGCTACGCGGCAGCCGGCTGCCGCTTGGAATTTGACGGAATGACGCGATACGTAGGTGCGGCAGCCGGCTGCCGCTTAGTGTTTAAGAGGTTAATCAAAACAGATTTAAGTTCCTTGTACTGACTTTAGGTACCAGGCACTCATAAGTAACATGGAGCCTTACCAGCGAATCCTCTCCCAACAGTGACGTATCCCCGGTACACTAAGGAGCGCAGTAAGTGAGCGCGCCCCCGCAGTGCTCCGCGGTCCACTGTACATATACTGAAGGCTTGAACACGCACCAATACTTCTCCTGTACCCGCACCTAGAAAATTTAGAACAAATACATTAGTATTCTTATAAGCTTTTGCCTTTCAAATGGAGTTTACTATAACACAACTGATGAAAAATGCTTTATCTGGGACCGACCGCGACCCAGGCTCGGAGCAGAAAATGGAACGGGGTGGCTTTAGTCAGTAAGTTTAGCAGTCCCTCTCGCCCCGACCAGGCAGAGAGAAGAAATTTGACAATTTTTACCCCTCAATAAAGTTCCTTCTTAGAAACAAATCAGTTGTAATAATTAATCCTTACTGAATGCGAAAGTTTGTTTGTTTGTCTTACTATCGTTATTGTATAATTCCTTCTTGCCTACTTTCTTTTATATTTAGGCTCTTTGTGATTCCATATACTCAATGGGAGAAAACGAGAACCCTATCGGCTGTCCGCCCTATCCGTATGTCATCATGTTGTTGTAATTTGGACAGATGCTGTATTTCCGCTAGGTATGATTAAAAATAAATAATTTGCTCCGATACAAATAATGACCCAGTCGGAGTTTTTCTTTAACTTGAAATAATAATACATACTCGTAATGAATATAATAACTAAAATTAATGTTATAGTACAATACCGCTAACGTATCTCGGCGGGTCTGAAGTTAGCCGATTAGCTGCGCAGTACACAATTTTGTTCCTAAAAGATCTATTGCGCAGACAAACTGCTAACTTCAGACTCGCCAAGATACGTCGGCCGTACTGTAAATAAAGATAAATAGCCAAGCCAATTACCAGGAGCTACAGCGTCCTCAACGAGTATGACGGACTGGTCAGCCTGCGAGTGCAGGGCGCGCGCGTGCGGTCCGCCTTGTTGCCGCCGCGATACCTTCAGCCCCAGCAAGACTCCCGCACTGCCGCCCACTACCACGCCGCAAGCGAATATCAACATACTGCGACGCCATACTGTAAATAAGAAACATTATTTGACGATTACAAAATTGTTCTATGGTGAATGAGAGAGCGAAATTGCGATAGATTTGAGGTGATGTAAATCGAAGGCAATAAAAAAAAAGACACAAACAGACCAGGTTGCTAGGAAGAGATTTCTTTACTCCAAAGTCTTGATGTACCCAACTAATGTGACAGTAGGTACAGTAGAAAAGGTTTTTTTTCACTCTTCAACAAATTCCACGAATACAAAAAAGACTAGGGCAACATCCGACGTAAGAGTTTTCTCGCCCAACCAGGGCAGGAGAAGTCTTAGGTTGCAATTTTACACCGTAAAAAATAAAAAAATTCAGAGGCCCATATTCTAATAATGATACGAAGGGGATGTTGATTTGGCATACAAACCTCTATCGTGCCACAACGCCACCAGTTCTTCATAAAGTAAAACGGGCGAAAGGGGCGGAGCACCCTCGCGGATACGACGCACTGCCTCCCGAGACCATGCGGCCGCGCGTTCGCGACCCTCCGCGATCAGCTCGTTGTGCCAAATATCGTGAAATGCTTCACGGATCTGGCATATTTACAAAGAAACATTTTGTTTTATAGTGGATTACAAAGTAATAAGTGTACCACACAATTGAACATATTTTTAAAGGCTTCAGGGTAAATGGCCTGTAAGCGTACTAATAAAATGGGACAGATAAATTTAGAAATTAAGCCACTACAAAAGTATGAAATTTTTCAGAAATTTAATTAAACTTTGATCAAAAATAGTGAACATACCTCCATTGAAGATTGATATAGCATTAAATCATGACCTACATACACAGTTCATCCTAGTTTCTTATCTTATAGAATGGAGATAACTGCGGCACTAGGTCGACATACCTTCTGAATAGCATCCACTGTGGTTTGCACAACATCTTGTACGCGCGATTTGCCATTATCAGCTGCAGTTTTTGCTGCTACCTGATGAAATTTAGATTGATAATTTCATAACTTATATTTTGAATACATCAGCAAAACAATTGCAGTAATCATGACTGATTTCTTGGTAAATAATTCTTCTTGTAATAAATTTTGTGAATAAGTTTTTACATAAATACTTCAATTTTTATTACAGCTTTATTACAGAAAAATATGTGAAAAAATGACAAAGTTAATACATTTTATATCAATATACTAGCAGCAACTAATATTAATTTTAAAACTTTTCAACATTATTTATTATTCTCTGATTGTTAAATAATTTCCATAAAACATACCTAAAGTTGTTTATGTGCTTTTGTGAAATATAGATTAATAATATAAGGACAAATTCAAGGAAAACTAGGTTGAGCAACCTACAATCATCAATATTTACTATTTTGTTACATGAAATAGTATTTATAGTATAGTGAGTAATGTGTACTAAATGACTAAAATAAATGAATTATGTAAGCCCATGGTCATTAGCAGTCTAAACTAGGACAATGACATTTCATTGTCATAACAAAAACAAACACATGATAGTTAAATCGCAATCTTTGAAAGAAATTCGAAGGCTAAAAACATTTACTAAAAAAATGACGTGAATAACCGACGCACTTTCGCGCGAAACTACCAGGATATCATAAGTTAGCAAGAGTCACTTACATGTAACGCTTCGAGTTTTTCACCAGCTCTGTGCTTCAATTCATCCATGTCAGAGCGTCACGAGCCGATGGAGGGTCAGCGTTAACCGCTTAAACTGTTAAATCACATCCAAAACCTTAACCTTTGGACACAATCCGGCCTAAATATTTGCAAGCCCAAAATAGACCGAATGTCACAATAAACACTTACGTGAACTCATTTTGTGAAAAAACTTAGTGGTATATTTACTTTTTATTACTGTAAACTTTACGGATTCTATTGTAAAATGGCTTGCAGTTACGTAAAATTAAATTATTACCTTATCCAAACATAACCTCTATAAATTGTTTGACAATTTGCATTTTAAATTTTTGACATCTTGACATATGATTCCGATTGTGACGTAGACGTGGACTACGTTCCATTTCACGCTACGTTCAAATTGTTACAGTGTGTACACAGTTATAGATTTTTTACCTCTAATATAAATTATGTTCGTTATGGACAGACAAGCTTTCATCTGACTACCATTAAAAACATTTTTTCATATTTTTTTCGTACGCCTATACCATACAATCTAGACATCAGATTAATGCAACCCTATGAACTCAATGTAATTTCAAAGACGTTTCAATTTTTTTTTATATTATCTATATTAAATACTCAGAATACAGAACAATTAAATATTAAAAAGTTGAATGGCTCCGAAATGTTATGTTTGCGGTAAAGTTGAAGATGTACATCATATTTTAGCGGAGTGTGATCGGAATAAGGAGTTAAGACATCGATTTTTTGGTAAAGAATGTTACCAAGGTTAAGGTTTTTATATAAATTTTCTATCGTCTCCACTGTGTGAAAGAGTTAAAGTACTTATTCGTTTAGTTAAAGAGGGTCCAAGGCGGAGATCATCTCTGCCTTAATTCTTCTTTTTTAAATATTTTAATTTATTTTTGCTTTATATAGGGAGCGTCATATTTGTAACTGCAAATAAGCTCTTTTAAATAAAGAAAAAAAAAAGTTGAATGGTTTGTTTATTTCTGTTTTATTTGAACGTACAATAAACTCCAGAAATACTTGTTCGGATAGCACAATTCGTTTTGTGGTCGTTGTTCGATTTATCGAGGGAGGCAATATGCTTTTGCCATTTTGCTAGATCCGTAGGAGTCGAGCAACGGTCGAAACCACAGAGACATAACCTACATACATACACACATACCTAATCCCAACTTTCTTGGATATCCGATAGTAAAATATTTGATCATTTTATTCCTACCACTATAACGCAGGGATCACACAACGACTTTTCAACTCAGAGGTTTGTAACAGGCTACAAGCTACTTTACTTTCGAATGTTTTTAGAAAAACAAATAGGTACCTTTTTTTATGTAATATCTCGGCAAACGAGCAGACGATGGTAAGCAATCAGCGCCGCCCATGGACACTCGCAACGGAGGAGTTACGAGTGCGGTGCCGACCTTTTAGGGATTAGGGATTTGGAGATTTAGGGATTGAGGAGGGATTGGGGAAGGGGAAGGATTGGCCCTCCGGTAACCTCCGTAAACCTATTACCTACTTAGGCTTGTTCTCCAGTGAATAGACATGATAATTAACAAATAGGTACGTGTAGGAAACAGTTACCCGCGGGGTACGATGATGATGGAATTTTTTTGAGGTGATGTAATCATTAAAGACTTCTCTCGGCTCAGGGTGAGGTGAGAGGGAGCATCAAACAATTACTGACTAAAAACTATATGTAAGTTGTTCCTTCTCCTGCTCCAGACCACGTTACCTTATTGAGCTTGCCTCTCCCGCCCAGGGCCGGGCGGGAGGGAGTGTCAGACTCTTACTGACTAAAAACCCCCCTGTGCCTTCTCCTGCTCTGGGCCGAGGTCACGGTGCCTCATTGCACTTACTCCGCAACCCCGGCTGTACATCAGCCATAAAGGGACCCGTCTGTGGTGGTCTATTGGCTCTTTGAGGCGCGCGCGGAACGCTTCGCGCCGTACGCTCGGGCCTGGTTCTGGTCGGGCGGCAAGCTGCCCTTACTCGCCGACCGCAGACCCGCGCTTACGGTGGCCGGAGATCGTCCTTTGTTGGGCCCCATCTGTGTTAGGCTACTGGCTCTTTGAACCTAGACATTAAGTGTGCGCAGCTACGTGGGCGTGTAATTTATTGCTATTTACTTTTTCTAGGCACAAAAATGGAATTTGTTATTGAAACGCTTTGATACTAGAAAAACGTAGGTAATCGATTTTGATTTTTTAAATAACAAACTTATGAAGTGTTTTTATTTGCGTAGTTATGTAGTGAGAAGGATTGAAAAAATCTTACTATAGAAAAATATTGACACAAAAAAAGTTAAAATGCATAAGTTTTAAATAAAGTTTATTCTAAGAATAAATTATACATTTAGATAAATGCTGTTATTACTAAAATAAAGTTATCAAATTATTTTACATTATATCGATTGGAATAAGGTTTTCTGTACTGTCAGCACTTTCTGGATGATCGGGTATATCTCCGAGCACTTTGTCAATCCACAATCGGCTGTATGCGACCTAGAAAAAACGATTCAATTACTTACCTACTTCTTCTATATTATGAACTCCTAGTACAAATATATACCTGAGACTACTAGGTATATAACTGTTGAGAAATAATAGTGAATTAGCCCCCGCCCCACTCATCCATCTTACAATTCCTTGATTTACATAACCTACCTAGGTACTATATTATGTACGTACGAAACTTACCTACTCGGAAAATATGCTACCTAAATAACCTAATATTTACCTCGGGTAGGGTTTAATATTTATTAATTTCTTATTACCTACTTTAAAGATGTGCATGAAAATAGAAGACCACAGGGCTATCTATAACAGTAACAGATTTAATCTTGCATTTCATGTAATGTAATTCAGTGGGTTAATACTTTATTCACCACGAATCACAATGAAAATTTTACTTAGAATTTCAAATCACCAAATTACCTTAGCAAAAATTCCTGGTTTCGACTTGTAGGCGCACTCCTCAGTGCCGGAAAATAGTGCTATGCCGTAAAGTGTGCCTGCGCGGTTCAGTCCACTAAAATGAACCGCCGGATCGCCCGTGTCACCCTGGTACCAAAACATTGAGAGAACTGTTAATGCCTTTGGCCAAGGCCTTGAATTTATTTTGGAAGAATTATTAAAAAGTTAGTTAGTTATAGTGGGGATATTATTATTAGGTGTACCTTATCTTTTGGTAATAAATAGGTAAGTACCTAGCAAGCATGTAGTAAGATTATAGCAGATTATAGCATGTATAACAAATGAAGACTAAGACAAATTGGTATTCATTCGATATTTAAATTAAAAGGAAAAACCTATCTATGTAAAGTAAATGATACTAACGGCACATAACGCAACTCCTTTTATAACGCTCTGTAAACACATATTGTCATGTTGTAAGTGATAATCATTCCCATAAATCAAACGACATTCGCTTCGGGATACTTCTCGTACAATCATCCGTCGCAATTCTTGATTCTCTCCTTCTCGAATTTGTCCAGTCACCTGGAAAATAATTAGACGAATTGTAAACTATACTTCTTATGTGTCTCTAATATCCTAGTACTCGTAGATTAGAAGTAACGTAATACTTGATCGACACACGTGCGCATAAATTACATGGTAAAAGTTCATCGCACTTAGAAATTGAAACTAGGTAGAATATTTTCCAGGTCATTTTCTATCTCATGTATATGATCGAACAGTACACTAGGTATGACAAAGATGGATATATAGATAACGGTTTTTTGCAGATAATGATGGTTTTTGCAGCTGGATAACATGGCCTTGGCGGTGTGCCAAATAGCCACGGTCTAACACTTTTCAATCATGGGAACCTGGTACCCACGGAAGTAAATACCAGATTGATGCTCCCTATTACAATGAAGTGAAAATAATTAATTACCAATAATATTCTTTACATAATTTATAAATTAAATATGCTGTAGCTGTAGGTTTTTTTGTGGGTTGTGGCAGTTGTGGTCTAACAGTAGTAGCCAAAATATCAAATAAAATATAAAACCTAGACAAAAGAACCACATTTCTTCATTCGGATATTTTTTCTTCAAGTTGGATCATTATAATCTTGGTATTAATTACCACAGAACCATATCCAGTAACGACAGTTTCTCCGAACAGCGGTGGCAGATCAGCGTCAGATACAGCTAATGAAACGGCCTGCATTCTGCTGCTTTGAGTTATCGGCAGATTCACCTGTAATACCAGGAAAACATAAATTGATGGTAATAAGTAGTCGTTTTACACTTAGATTAGTGACTATCTAAAACTTGGTGAAGATGACTAATCGTGATAACTTATTTCCACAATTCTACACACTCTATTCAGTTTGAACCATTATTAAAGCGCTTATGCAGTGGCTGAATTCTTCTTTTAAAGTGCTCTTTTTATAGTATGTTGTAAATATTTAGATGATGATGAGACTAAAACGTATCATAATGTACTTTGGAAATGGTTTGTGTAGAGGCAAATAAGTATACGCAGGAATTGTAGGTGCAAGCGCCATACTGAAAGCGCAAGGTCCGGCCCGGAGTGGCATAGTCAAAAAAAAAAAACATGACACATAAAATTAAATGCCAGAACGACAGCCAAATATAATAGTATCGTATAGGGAACATATCTGGGATTTCGAGCTCTGTGCGTACAATATATTTGGGTTACCCCTATTAAATGGGAGTTTTTCTCAATAAAAATTCCCGCCCTGCCGTGGGCCGACGCCGACCCAGAGATTATTCAGAGATAGTCTGAAGACTATCACTGAATAAAATCTACCCCGTTCTTTCTTCTTCTTCAAACCGGATCACGGTACACCATGCAATGCATGCATGGTGTACCGTGCATGCATGCAAAAGACATATAAAATACCTACACTAAATTTTAAAACATTTGGGGATATATTTGAAACAGTATTTTCATGTTCCACTTACCTTGACCATGGCTAAGTTATGTTCAGGATAGTACTGATCCATCCTGTAGTCCGGGTGTCTCTTGATTTCCACTACCGACAATATTCTCCCGCCAAAATCTCTGAATACAGATCCCATCCGAACTGAAACTTCTTCTTTGGTAACGCTGTTGAGGAAAAATATGTATACCATAGTATGGTAGTCTTTTTAATTGGAAAAAAGACTTCTTAAAATCGATCGATTCCTACCATTTTTGTACGACTTTTAGAATCAAATAGTAGGTACACAAACTTCAAATACTTTTTGACCTAGATGGTATCAATTATTTATTTCTTTTTGACTAAGTCCCATTGTTAATTGGAGCCTAGTTTCACCTCTAAAACGTACTACTTTTAAATAGTATCATTACATAGTATCAATACATTATTTTGGTGCAAGTTCGCAAATTACATAGTACCTACCTTGTAGGTATTATTCATTTGTTTCTACCTACACAACACCACAATAACACACACACAAGTAACCTCTTCATCATTTATGTTGCCCTAAGATAAGTATTATTATTCCTTTCGATTTCTATAATTATTATTAAACTTAATAAATGATTTCTATATCTAAGCAATATTTAATTAAATAAACATGTCTTCCAAAACACAAAACTACATTTTTATTGAAAAACAAAATGCTAATAGTCGACTTAATTAGCAGTGCATGGATATCCTAAGTATGTCATTCGGTTTGGTCACCATTTTACTTTTTTTTAAAACTTATCAACCCACCCTAGCATGTTATGTACGCAATGCTGATACTAACTCCACTATTTAATGGATGTAGGTAACCTATAAACCTTCCTCTTCAATCACTCTATCTAAAACAAACCGATTTAAGCATACATAGGATTGAAGGGACAGAGAAAGCGATTCAAAGACGTTGTTAATGACTTACTAGTCGAAACACTGAGCTGCAGTGAGAACCCATAATTTTCCAACGATGGCTCCACCACACCAGTGCTTGCCATGTAGCCTAAAAAATATAAAAATAAAATTATTGTTACGATTTTATGTTAACTGGACCCGACAACTCATAACAGTACGCCCCTGCCATTATGAGTCTACCTTACGTAAGACGTTTCTCCGTCTATCCCTGCTTGGCAGAAAGATTGCAGGACAATTCAGGTTTATCAGAGAACGGTAGGTATTGTCCAATCTGTTGTTCCTTATTCAGCGACGTCACTACACTTTAGTTGGCGTAACGTAATACTCGATCGAATTTACCTAAATATCCTTTTATTCTTTCTTAATTAAGTATACTATTTCTTTTACCTTACTGATACTGTGTAGGGGTAGTCTTCTAGACAAACTAATCCAGTCTCAGTGGTTAGTCTTTTTCTTCTAACGTGAGTAAGATCTTCTTCCATTTTCGGCGGGAATTCGCATTCTAACTCCGTCCTTTTAGTGGTCATCATGGCTAAAGCAAAAGAAAGAACTCTTTCAAACTTCTCACCTCCTAGTACGAGTGAACTTTCATTGTCAAAGTAGAGTGTAAAAAAAACGTTGCGTGTGGAGACGACAAATACATCAAACAGCATTTTTTTATCTTAAAAGCATCTTTATATTGGTCAGTGGGTACATTTGCATTCTTTCAGATATCATTTTATTGACTTTCTTTAAATTAGTACTTTTGTGATATTTTTATATCATGGAGGATACACATACTCGTGTTTGCCAGTAAAAATATTCTCTTAATTCTCAACTACAAAGTTTTTTTGGTATTTTGGTTGTTTTTTAAGGTTGAAGTGGGCTCTTATTTCTTACACTTACTGAAATATTTAAGTTTTCAAAGTATAACTAAATAATAAAAAAACTTTTTAATGGCCCATACCATAGCCATAGATTAAAGCATGTCTAAAATAGTCTAAATTCTATTCAAAAATTAAAATAAATTCGCACTTGTCCGTAAAGAAACTATCTTCTTACCGCTTTCCACAAATATATTTCTGTTAAAATGAAAAACTAAAACTAGAAAATACATGAAATGCTGAATGCACTCCATTGCTTGTCAATGTATTAATTAATTAGGTACTATTGGAAAAAGTTCACATTATCTGTTCATTTTAAATTTTGGAAACACGTTGAAGATCGTCGAGAATTTCACGAGAAACTAACTTTTCTGGGTACTCACATCTAATCACCAGTTTATGAATAGTTAGTTATTCAAACAATAATTTGTGATTAAGTAACAACCGTATTGTTTCCCCGCACAATAGCGGAACTTTGTAAAACAAACTTCTTACTAGATATTCATAACTTCAAATGAGGTATTATGACACAATAATGTATTTTTGGTTTTTTAAAGTAACCGTTACTTGTCAACTTTGTCAAATATTTACTTTTTCGTTAATTTAATGTAAGGTAATATGATATTAAATGAGCATTCTTTAACCAAAGGTACGGTAAACTGGTCTTCGAATAACAACACCTTAGTTCTATTTGCAAAAGTACTCACCTAATAATTTTTCATACTTTATAAGTGCAATTAATTTAAGTGTGGGTGTGCCATGCTTCGGCAGGAATGGGTCGGCTCGACCGGAGTGATACCACGGCCTCACAGAAAACCGGCGTGAAACAGCCACAGCGTTGTGTTTCGCCGTGTGAGTGAGGTTACCGGAGGCCCAATCCTTTCCCCTCCCCTATCTCTTCCCAATCCTTAAAGCACCGTTTGCTGACTTATCCCATAAAAAACTTAAACAGCGCCTACGATTTAATCCATGCCACGGCCATGTCGGAATTGTAAGACGTGAGTACTCTACTGCTGGTTGAACAAAAAGGGTTCACAAACGCTATGATTGACAGAAGGATAAGTTTTAAAATATTTGTATGATTATTTGAATTTGCTTTAATTTAATTATTTCAGATTGAATACCGTTTACAAGGAAACCACGAAATTATACTCAATAATTCCTAAGCCATGCGCTACGCGTGCTACGCGTACGCGACGCTAAACAAATAGCTTTTCGTGTTTTTTATAAAGATATCTTCTACAACATGTGCGCCTGGTGATTCACTACGTAACTGACCTTTTTGATGGACAAAGTATTATTTTGGCTGTGTCATACAAACTTATTATCTATCATGCGTTGCTGTGGTTATCTTTTAAATCGGTAGGTAATAATTTAACGAGTATTATCCATTTTATCTTTAATTTAGGAATATTATGTAGATTAAAATAATGTCAAGTGTAATTTTTCTAAAAGTAGGTGTTACCAAATTATTGTAACACGCTAATATTTTCTTCTATAATAATAGGCGTTTAACACGTTATACGTAGGTATAATGAAAAAAAAAATAAGAATGGAGAAGGGACAAAAATGCATCTATCCAATTTAGTCCGGCTGTTTTTGAGATTTTCACATAGCACCACATTTGAAAATCAATTGTAAATTAATTTTGTTTGGAGTAAAACCACGGCATCACAGTGAACTGGCGTGAAGCAACACTTACATGGTGTTTCGCCGTGTAAGTGAGGTAACTGGAGGCCCAACTGAACCCTCCATTCTTAATTCTCAAATCCCCTATCCTTAAGTGCCTTATAACCCACGAGAGGCCGGCAACGCACTCGTAGAAACTCATTTGGTATTACGACTTTACGAGTCCTCAATGGCGGCGTTGATTGCTGACCACCAGGCAATCCATGACATCTAGGAAAAAAATACAAAAAAAAACTGTTGTACAAATAGAATACTATCTACAGTAGTAATTGTTTCCATCGAGGACTTTTATTTTGTAACTGAATAGACTATTAAACTCCTCTTCTATTTTTCGCCGCTATTTTACCATTGTATTAAGCACCTGCAAATTGATTTTGGATAAACACATGTGTGTCAGTCATTTGATACACTTTTGAAATTCAGAGTTCAGACAAACTGCCATGAATCAATTAATGTGTTCGCTGAAAGTTCTCTTAATTGTTTTTATAGTTAATTGCAATTCACAAATATCTTGTAGTCATGAAGTCAGTGAAGAGTGTGGTGGAAGCACAGATATTAATGATGACGGTGAAAGTGATCAAATGATAACTAATGAAGTGACTAACTATGACAACCGTCGAGAAGTCAAAGAAGACTCCTCGCCAGAACAAAGAAGAGCCAATTTTGTTGTAGATGAAATCAACTTTGTCAGAGAGAATAATGAATTAGAAGGAACAAATACGACTGAAATGAGTAATTATATTAATTTAACTTACATTCCTTAGGAGATAAATGGACATTCAATAGAATATACTACGGATCCGCGTATTGTAGGTAAACAATTACATAGACACCATAATTATAATGTAAAAATTTATAGATACAGTTAACGAGACGGCCACCATCGAGAACGTAACTTGCAATTACCAGAATAGCAGCACGGAAGAAGAGGATGTAGAGACGTCGTACCTCGCCAACTATCCGTTTTCTGTGTCTATACAGAAAAAAGGTGCGCATTACGTTTCTGGAGCTCTGATTGGTAAAAGATTTATTCTGAGCGTAGCTGGAGAGTTTTATCAGTAAGTAGAAAAAAATTGTATATAATTAATTGTCTCTTTCGCAACCGACTAGTTTAATTAGCCATTAACCAAGAACGGCCTGGATGACATTCCACTAGCCGTTTGATAGATTTAAATTTCTTATTGAAGTTGTTTAGAGTATGGTGGAAGTACTGTCATGAATGAGTTGCTACCAGAATAGTAGGTTAATACCATTTAATACTGTCAATGAATGGTTTATTATTGTAGTTGGCTGATTTAGACATTGTTAAGCAGGTATTAATGCTAATGATAAATGAGACGAAAAAATTTTTTAATCTTCTGATTGCTGCTAACATTGTTTTCATTAGCAGTAGGGTAAAAATTAAGGTTATCGTTAGGAAATAAAAAAAAACAAATTACAATGCGGCCGACGTATCTTGGCGAGTCTGAAGTTAGCCGTTTGTCTGCGCAATGGACCTTTTAGGAACAAAATTGTGTACTGCGCAGCTAATCGGCTAACTTCAGACTCGCCAAGATACGTCGGCCGCACTGTAAGTTCTTTCAACAATATCTATAATATTCAAGAATTAACTAAAGTAGTAAATAACCCAGCAAAGTCGATTCTACATAATTAGTTAATTACAGTTTGTTTGCATGTATAAATACAAGTTTTTGTAAAAGAAACATCTGTTGATATTTATAAATGTAATTTAATTATTAATCAGTTGCTTTATTTACCCATTTTTTTACGTTTTACAGTGTCCGAGATTCTCTAAAATTATTTAGAGCAAGACTAGGATCCGTGGACTGCAAAAGAGGTGGCACATTAGTGCCTATCAAAAAAATTGAAATCCATCCATACTATGTCTATGGGAAACCAAATTTTGACGTCGCTCTTTTACGGCTAGCATCACCAGTAGAATATTCTGACTCTTTAAGACCAATAGGAATTTCTAAAATCAATGGCAAAGTGCTGAGTGCCAAGTTTATGACAACATACTGGCCGAGAATTGTGGTAAGTTTTCAAATAAGGTTTACTAAGGCTTACTTATATTGCTCATTAATGGATTATAAATATTTACATTAATCTATTATATTTTAGCTAAAAGGAAAAACAATACCGGAAACGGCTAAGGAACGAATAAAACACAACCGTATGCGGGTATCAACTCAGAAGCTAATTCCTGTAGATAAATGCAATAAAATTATGAAGGCTATTAATGAACACATCAACGAATCCAGTCTGTGTCTGGAGCCAATTGTTACTCATCATAGTGAGTGCATGGTAAGTGAGGCGATTGGCGACACAAATTATATGCATCCTAGTGATTCTGCGCGCCTAGTCTAAATGTTAGACTGATACTAAGTTTCCGCGTTCCTATGATTTTACGTACTCCTTCATGGTGCAGGCTACCTAAATCTGTTCAATTAGTGTTATTTATTGATTAATTGACAATTTAATAACTAAGCAATTAGGTACCAGTCAAATCATATTTCTTTTTTATTAATAAGTAATGGCTACGTTTATAAGAGAAAGTTTGGATGGATGGCTGGAAGGACGGATTTTTGTTATTATTTCAGGCAAAAACTGCGAATGGACTTTAATGAAATTTGGCACCGATGTAGTTTATATCCTGGAATAATAAATTAATATTGGCTAGATCAGTATCAACAAAGATATTACGTTTATAAAAAATATTTTACGTTTATAAAACGTAACGGAATGCACAGAATAACTAAGTATTATTGTCTAGGGCCCATTAATTTGTCATGATGTTTGTGACTCTTAATAATCTATCTACCTATTTCATTTTACCGGCTTATTAATCATCTTAGTTGATCTTTAGATATGTGACCGTAACCTCACCTTTCGAAATAAGAATAAAAAATTAAATTAATGTCATATCGTTTACACGAGACGCTAATTTCCTAACTGCATGGATATATTCTTTTTTGCATTACGAGTAATACTGATTAAATGTAGAATTTTATTGTAGTAAAGTTAAATTTTTATCCACAGCCCGATGCCGGGGCACCAGTAGTCGCCGAAGATGGCCTTTGGGGCATTACGTCTGGTTGGGTAGCGCCAACATGTCCGACTTTTGCAGCTCCAACAATATTTACGCGAATCTCTTCGATATCTGTGCGCTCCTGGTTGGACATTCAACTACTTAATATTTAGGTTAAGGTTAACAACTGCTATGCTTCCTCAGCTCTCACCGCACCGCATACCAGACATTTGCAACAGGTTGATACAACATTTTGTGACAAGGGTAACATAACGAGCTAAGATACAAACTAAAATACAAAAAAAAAATACCAACCTTTTCACCATGATCTTCTTTTGCATATGTACTCCTAGTAGAATGCACAGCTGATTTTTGTTTCATCATTTCCAACAAAGTTTATTGCAATATTTTATTTAACGTTTAATTAATTTGTTGTAGTATTCAATACAATGTAAAACAGTATTGAATTAAAGTTGTTATTTACTTGCTTATTATTTAAATTTTTGATACTTATTCTTGGTTTTTGTACATAGATGTAGTAGGTACATAATATAGGTAGAAATAAAGTTTATGTATATAAGAATAAATAATTAAAAATTGTATGTTTTTTATCATTGTTTTTTTTACATACCTACCTACATACTATGGTTTTATACTGTAAATAGTAAATTAGTGTATTACGCTCCTACCAACACGTGTTTTCTAGAGTAAGATAAATACGAAATGGTTTACTATGCCTAACCGATAACTACATTATAATTAACTTAATTACGTATAATTTGTGAATAGAAATAAAATAAATAAATAAATATGTTCAAACAATTTAAATAAATAAAACAAAACATCGAGTTACTAGAGCGGCATAATACAAAAAGAGTCAATAAATTAACTAACCGAATGCCGTTGACCTTATAGCCTGAATTAGGTACTTATAGTCAACAATATTGTGAGATTGATTAACCTGTGAAGGCGAGTTACAATTAATAATACAAGGATGTACTAGACAATTAATACATTGTCCGTAAATAGAATATTCAATCTGTGTTCAACGTATACATATGTATACACATATTTGTAAATAAATAAAGTCGTAACTAATACCACACTATTGTATACATAATTACGGCATACGATTGGTAGTAAATTACGCAAAATGCTGATTAAGAAGTGGGCGTAACCATTGGCATCATACATACACACACATTATTTATTTTGATGTTGGTACTTAAATCACGACACGACGTAGCGACTGCCTTCTATTCATAACGCCCTGGTATTTAGTCGTCGAACATGAGTTGCGAATACAACCGGGATATTTTATTTAAAATCCTATACCAGTAGAAGACAGGTCCATCTAATACCATTATAATTATGTAGCATTTTTTCATTATTATTTACTTTTAAACATATTTATTATATGTTTTAAAAATATATAAAATATAGACCTAGCGGTCCGCCCCCCACTTTGCACGGGTCCATCTATGTTCTTAGCAACAAAAGGGATACTATTCCCTAAATTTCCCTTTGCTTTTAAAACATTTTCTTTCAAAAGGACCTCATAGTAACAAACACTGCAAAATTCAAGGCATTTGCTTGTTATGTGCTTACCACAAAGCGATTCATTTTTAGTCATTTATTTATGTATATACATAGATATATAGTTGTAAATCAAGTCTTCGGTAATGAACACACCTCTTTAGTTCTTATGAAGTCTTGGTGAAAATAGGCAAAATTGACGTAACAGTTTTGTTATGATGACAACGACAGAGTCACTCGGGTCGCTCCGCAACTGTGAGGCCGGGTCCTATCTGACAACACTGACCGGAAAATGTTGCTTTAATAGAATGTACAAACAAAAAGCAACATTAATTAAAAATTAAGTGTGTTCCTATTATGTTTTAAGAACCTACCTTCATACATGATACAATTAAAGTTTTAAAAAGGTAATATAAAATCAGTAGTGCTCTCCTCTGAGTAGTCTGAGTTCAGTCGTTGCTGTTGAGGTGGGTGTTAAGAAAATTCAGTCCTACACAGCCATTGAGCAGCTCACTGAGTTTTGTGTCACTATTCCACTGAAAGGCGCTTCGCTATACCAGGCAATCATAAGCTGTTAGAACTACGTTGCGAATTCATTGAGTGCCTTAACGTAGTCAAAGGAATGAACACGCCCGTTGTTAAAGGGGTCTTATTATGTTATGACTTATTTTTAAATAAATACTATTAATAAGTAAATATTCCATATTTATCATTTAAAACTTCAATGTAACTGCAAGTAGATATTTAATAAATTATGTCAATGTGATTCAACAAAATAATCACGTAGTCTAAGATAAAAGTGGTGTTGGGAAATATACAAATTGGACTAGATCAACAGATTTATCATTAGAGATTCTAACATTGCACAATATAATACGTGGCTGGGTAATCAAAGATTTCAAATTAAAATTTTCCATTGTTATTAAGGTAAAGTGTACCTTATTTAAATTTTAAAGAAACAGGTTGTTTAACTTGTTTTATTCAAGCATGTCTAATCTTGTTAAATTCCACATTAGCCGAGCTATTGCCAATTTATGTAACAAACACACATGTTAGTATAATTATGTCTGTCATAGCCATACATGCCAGGTATGCTTATTTGATGAAATTATTTTCAGTATTTGATAGAATTGTTGCATTTCATGAACTCTTTGTCTATTTTGCATTCGTGGGTCTAGCCTAATAAAAGTCTGCCGCGGCCTCAGCTTGAAGAGGGATAAGGAACGGAGAGGTTTTTACTCAGTAAGAATTTGACACTTCCTATCGCCATACCCTGAGCAGGTCATTCGATAATTTTCTCTCCACAAAAAAGACTATCTACTGGCAACTGTGATTTGGCCAGATCAATGATTAAAAATCGTTTCTTGGTGTAGGAGTGGGCAACTAATCGCGCAACCATTTCAAAAACTACCTGACTACTTAGTCAAGATATTTGATCATTAAGTGTGGGAGAGCCAAGGCACGACGTACCTTGGCACGTATTGGTCGGCTCGACCGGAGTGATACCAAGGCCTCACAGAGTACCGGCGTGAAACCACTACAGCGTTTGTGTTTCGCCGTGTGAGCGAGCTCCATATCCCTTCCCAAGCCTTAAGTTTTTATAATAAGTGCCTATTTCATTAGATTAGGTGAGAACTGTGATCGTCAATCATTTATTCACCTTCAGGAAATAATACGATTTGGATCAAAGAGATGATACGATGACTCTCAAATCAGGCCACCTGATGTACTTCCGTGAGGGAGACCAAAAATCCCAAGGTGGCGTTGGGTTTCTGGTTAACAAGTCCCTATCTAACAATGTTGTGGAAATGTCGAGTGTGTCGAACAGGGTGGCGTACCTCATTATAAAGCTCACCGAGAGGTATAGCCTTAAGGTGGTCCAAGTGTACGCACCGACCTCGGCACACTCCGATGATGAGGTGGAGGAGATGTTCGATGATATATCGAGGGCCCTCCACTCCACCACTAGGACTCACTTCAACGTTGTTATGGGGGACTTTAACGCCAAAGTGGGAGTACAAAATTGCAGTGAATCGGTAGTAGGATCCCATGGGTATGGAAACAGGAATCATAGGGGGCAAATGCTCGTCAATTTCCTCGAACGGGAGGGGATGTTCTTAATGAATTCATTCTTTAAGAAGCAGCCCCAAAGGAAGTGGACGTGGCAAAGCCCCGACACTATGACAAAGAACGAGATCGACTTCATCATGGCGGACAAAAGGCACATATTCAGAGACGTCTCCGTGATTAATAGGTTTAATACCGGTAGCGATCACCGACTCGTCCGAGGCTCTCTGAATATCGACTTCAGAGCCGAACGAGTCCGCTTGATGAAGGCCAGGCTCCGACCAACCCTGTTTCAAATCAAAATGGGATCTGAAGCGTTTCAGTTAAACCTGGAGAACCGATTTGCTGCCCTGGAAACCACAACCGACGTTAACCGGAACCTTGAAAACGTGGTTCGAGTTCTCAGGGAAGAAGGTACGAGATTTTGTGAAATGCAGCGTAAGGGCAAGAAGTCGAAGCTTTCGGAAGAGACTTTAGGGCTTATGAAGAGACGACGTGAAAACCCACCCGTCACTTCGTCAGAGAAGCGGGCTCTAAACCGAGAGATTAGCAAACACGTGCGACACGATCTCCGGTGCTCGAATACCCTTGCAATCGAGAGAGCGATCGAGCAAAACCGGGGGCCAAAAGTGTTCGTACAATCTCTTGGAAGAAGCCACCTGACGAAGTTGACCACAGCAAGTGGAGAAGTCGTTGTCTCGAAGCCGGCAGTTCTTTCGGAAGTAGAAAAACTTCTACGGCCGGTTATACGCTTCGCATGCATCTCGACCTGACCCCGGAAATGAGGACTCTAGAGCCACTTTAATACGCCATTACACCGAAGACCTGCCAGAAGTCAGCATTGACGAAATCGAGATCGCTCTTGGACAGCTTAAAAATGGAAAAGCCCCTGGAGAGGATGGCGTTACGACAGAGCTTCTAAAAGCAGGCAGCAAACCGGTACTCAGGGAGCTGCAAAAGCTATTTAACGCTGTCCTGTTTGAAGGGAGAACTCCAGAGGCGTGGAGTCGGAGTGTGGTCGTCTTATTCTTCAAAAAGGGTGACAAAACCCTACTGAAGAATTATCGACCCATTTCCCTTTTAAGCCACGTCTATAAGCTGTTCTCGAGAGTGATCACGAACCGCCTTGCGCGAAGACTTGACGAATTCCAACCACCGGAGCAGGCGGGGTTTCGGAGCGGATACGGCACCATAGACCACATCCACACAGTGCGGCAGATTATACAGAAGACTGAGGAGTATAATCAGCCCCTGTGCCTAGCATTTGTGGACTATGAGAAAGCCTTTGACTCGGTCGAAATCTGGGCTGTTCTGGAGTCCCTGCAGCGATGCCAAGTAGATTGGCGATACATCCAAGTGATGAGATGTCTCTACGAGGCCGCCACCATGTCCGTCCAAGTACAGGATCAGCAAACAAGGCCGATACCGTTGCATCGAGGTGTGAGACAAGGGGATGTTATCTCCCCGAAATTGTTCACAAATGCAATGGAGGATATGTTCAAGACGCTGAACTGGAAAGGACGCGGCATCAACATAAATGGCGAGTACATCTCTCACTTGCGATTTGCAG